AAAAAAACCGTTTTTTTCGTTATCTACAAATCTTTTTATTAGCAACTGGAAATGATAAGAAACGGAGAAGGTAGAAATGGAAGTAATTACAAAAAAAATCTTTTCAATCGTTCATTCGTCTTATTACTAGATTCAATCACAAGCCACTTAACATTAAAGAATTTCAATTTTTGGAAAAATTTCCACCACTGGTAACTTATAACCAATATTTGTTGTAATTTCAAATGTGTTAATATTAGCGCTGGACGAAGGTCACTTAAGTTTTCTGTCGTTAACCGTAAATCTACAGACTATATAAATCATTTTAATGAAATATTTTGAATATGTGAAATATGCATTTCGGTGAAACTTTTGTTTAAAAGGAAGACAACCTGTCGGCAACCATAAGACGGATTAGCAAAATCGCTGTGCAAAAGAAAACGATTCTTTTAGTGCTATGTGAAAAAGGTCTTTTGCATTTCTAATCTTTCTGTTCGTCAGAACACCTTACAGAACATAGATGTTACGAAAAAACAAAAAAAAAATCTTTCTTTTTAGAAGGAAGAAAGAACCTCCAAATCAAACTGACTACCAAATAAATTTGTGGTCATAACAATTAATTAAAAACGTTTTAAAATAACGTAATAACAAAATTTATTTCCTTTTCTTTGACATTTTTGCCTGGTTTTAAACTTGCCAAAGGAAGCAGTTTTAATGAAATTCACAAACTGTAGAAATAACTGATGATAAAGACTGTCATTCATTCCCTAGCTTCCACAGTTTCATGAGTTCTTTTATTATCCTAAGTCGCGGTAATGTAAATTGAATTTGTAGAACGCCAGATGCGGGAAGATGCTGTTGTAGTTTGCAGACACACAGAATAACAAAATACAGCAGAAGAATAAAAATTAATTCAAAAGCACCTGTGGTATAACAAAATAACGGAGGTGCATAACAGTTCAGTAAACATCAAAATTTTCGTTTGCAAATATATACGCATCAGTTGTACGTACAAAAAATTGCATAAAAATTGCGCTATAATCATTACTAATTAGTTGATTGTCTTTCCATCAACCTCTATAGTTTCAGAAAAATATCATAATCTTAAAGAACTAGAAAATTCAATGTCGACATTGTCACTGTCTATTGACTTAACAAGCAAAAATTACTGTGCAAAAATGCTCGGTGACCAGCGCCGAGCAGGAAGAAGACAAAATTTGAAGGAGAAACAGTGTATCAAACGATCTTCTGCGTTCAATAAATCACAAGTTCTGATTGCAATGACTGATAAATAAAAATGATTGATGAAAAGCTTTACTACCGTCAACTTGATTTTTTCCCCATACTTATTGAAAATAACTTAGTTTCTAAAATAGTTTATGTTATGTCTATCTCAAAATTCTTAAAATAGTTAAACCTGAAAAATTTCTCAACATCGCCAGTACAATTGACCACAATTTTCAATCTTGATCGAACAACGTTATTGTTACAGTTATTTCTACGAACATATGACGTGTTTATTAAAGCCTCATCATTAGTGTGAGAAATGAAGCAGGCAAAAATTTTGACTTTTTTTACTTCTTTTAACTTGCTTCCAATGATATTAAAAAAAAAAAAAAAAGAAAAAGACAGTGAAGAAATAATAAAAAAATAAAAACAATTTTTTCATCAAACAAGCAAAAGTTTTTTGTTTTTCTCTTTTTTGTGACTATCGACTCTAAATTAACAATATTAAAAAACTGCCCTCACCGTTCCTCCGTTTTTTTTTTTTCTCATCTCCACTTCTCCTCTTCAACCGCAACAGTTACGGAGTTTCTTTCGTAACACCCACTCAACACTAGATTTCTACTGCCAACACTTATTTTTGGTGCCAAATAACAGTTCTATCAACAGCACCAGATAACATCAACATATTTTTACATGTCGCAAACAACAGCAGTTCCTTTCAACATAGTCCTTCTTCTACGTCAACTGAATTGCGTGAACAGAAAGTTTGAGAAGTAGCGACAACTAAACAAACAGTTTGTGTGCAGGCGTTAACAAGAATGCAGAAAACAGTAACTATATACAGTTATTTAGTTTATCCAAAATTGCTTGCTTGGAGCAGCGTAAACCAAAGAACATTTTATTTGATTATCCTCTATACCTCTTTGTAAATGATTTAATGAAATTTTAGTGGTTATATGTACATTCTGATCTCCATATAAATGGCATTATAACTGTTTGCAAGTGATATAAACAATGATTTCAAGACAAATAAGTGTGAATATTTGGAAAAAGAAAAAATAAGTAAATAAATAATTTATTCTTATAGCACAACCCTGAAAAACAAAAAACTATCATTCAAAAGTTCTTCTTCTCCTATCAATGAGTAACAAACACTGTAATAATATAAACAATAAAGTACTGTCACGTTTCACTACACTAAGGAGCATCCAAAAATGAAAACTTGAAAGATAAACAGTTAACGATTTAATTCAATTCCTATCAGCCGAAACAAACTTGTTCCGTCAAAAATTAATTGGAAATTTATGCTTTACGGGCTCGTAAACTCCTGAATACAGCAGCGTCATCGGCGAACTGTTCCTTGAATGGTCTATCAAATTTACAACCAAAATCGAAGATCTGTGGACTGCTCAAACATTTGCCCGATCTCCACATGTACCAATCATTTCCTCTTCGTTCTATCTGAAAAATGTCTCTTCCTGAATCAATACTGTACCAAAAACTCTAAAACTTTTTAAATATATCCAAATAAAAAAAAAAACAAACAATAATTAAAGCAAAATAAATTATTAATTCAGTCAAACATGTAAACTGCTTCAGCAGAATTATCGCAAAACATTTTTGATCATTCTTGTGAGATCTTAACAAGTGCAGATGCATTCAACAAACCTGTAACTTTAAAAGGCTACTTACTTGATAAGTATAAAACTTGAAGCAAACTTTGTTGCTGATAGATTTAGAGTGGAAGACTGTGTGTGCTTCTGGACACGCAAGATCACAGTAAATTCTTTCTTCCTTACCATGAAATTCCTGAAGGAGAAAGCAGTGATTCAAAAAAATAGATAATACTTTTTGAACTGATTTACCTCCTTATCTTGATATAAAATTTTGAAAAATAAGTATCAGTAAAAGTGATGTATTAAACAGCAAACAACATACAGTGAAACAACCATCGCCGACTGGTGCATTCCTTCCTGGTTCTTCATCTTCTGTATCCTTTACGACAAGGTAGCAGGAAGTTTTATCAGCCTTTGCAGTTCGGTTTGTCGAATCGCATACCAGCTGACGAAACTCTATAAGCACAATAAGCAGATGACGAAGAGTTGAATCTTATTAGTGTCACTTACTATAAGTAGCAGCAATGTACCTACCGTTTCCATAAACACAAATCAAAAGGGTGTTTCACAAGCAACTGCAAGTCACTTTTTAAGATATTTGCAAATATTGTTGATCTTATGTCTTCTTCTCCATCATCTTCCAAAAGAAAATGAAAGTGAATTTAACACAAACAAACAAACAAAAAAAAAAAACTCACGTGCATGAGACCAGCATAATGGAATAATGGCAATAAAGGTAATAAATAATAAGCGTAACATTTCTTGTTCCTCCTTCAACTTCCTTTGGTTGGAAATTTAAGCGCTTCCATGGATCATCATCATTTATATAGTGATACAAACGGATTTATCCAAATTACAAGTTTTATTTGCTCAACAAAAAAATAACATCCGCTTTTGCTATCTAAATGCCTAACGGCAATTATAAACAAAAATGACCATTTTAATTATTTTGGTCAACGCCGAGCTTAGAACTTGTATGGATAGTGTTTTTTTCTTGTTGTTGGTGACTTCCCCACTTCACGAGAATTAAAAAACAATGACGAATGATGCCACTATCAGATTGGCGATGTATTCTTGCTTTAATTTTATATATAAATCTATAATAAACAAATAAAATAATAAATAAATATAAATGTAAATATAAATATAAATATAAATATG